TTTCAATGGCTATGGCGACTCAGCGCCCAAACAACTCTCTGTTCGCATACACCGGATCGCCCTGGATATCCCACACGCGTCACTCTGAACACTCACACATACACACACGCACTACACACTAACTCTAGCTATGGCGGCTATGGCCGCTTCTACCCTATCGCTATGCTACGCTCCCTCTCTCTCGCCCAGTTCAGCTCCGGGCTCACTGCAGACCTCCTTGCACAAGTCGCTGTGGCAGCGCTTCCGCATGGCTCACGCAGGAATGAATGAATGGCTGGGCGCTGCCTCTTGATTTATACTTCTGAAGCTCGTTGGTCTGCCCCTTTCCATCGGCCCATGGTGCTCACAGTCCCTCGTGGTACTTGCTGGACCGGACTGGGACTGACTGGACCTTACCGCTGACTGCTTAGGGACTCACTGCTATCCTACTGAGGTCGTACTGCAATCGTACTGCAGTTAGTCCCCCACTTGACTCACCACTTGCCCACTTGCCCACTTGCTGACCTTCTAGAAGGACTACAGCTAGGACTTCTGGAACTCACTAAGACTTATATTTTATAGATCTACAGATCGAACCCCTGCTACCTATGGACCCTACGACAACCTATCAACTGTTACAAATACACAGGTCGCGGGTTCAAGCCTTGGGGTCGACACAGATACTGTCCATCGGTAGGGTAAGGGCTAGGGATCGAGCCCTGGGGTCTGCATCTGCTACTGCAAAAGGTGAAAACCGTTTCTTTTTCAGAAAATTCACTTTTTTGCAGTAGTACAGTAGTACTCGCAATTTTCTGCCTTCACTATGTTTCGTCGAGTCAATTTCTTTCTTTGATAAGCTGAACGATGAACAGGGAAACCAAATACCTTGAGCTGAAATCTCTGCCATACCCAGATCTTGACTTGCATATTCATTTTTTTTGTCAATCCAGGTCAGAGTCCATCAAACTTATTTATTTATTTGATATTATCTATATCATTATTAAAGGAAGAAGCAGTCCTTGGAAGACGCTTTCGCGCGCCCAGGGAAAGTGAGGCCCGCGCGGTTGTCTCACGGGACACGCTGTACCACGCTTTTTCTGTTTGTTTGTTTTTTGCAAGGAAGATGAGTGATAGCGAACTCCGACAATCAAACAGCATCATACATATGAGTCCAGATAGTCTTGACCTCGAACCAAACTCAGAATTGCATCACGAGATACACCAAATAAGAACACACCAAGAGTTCATCATTGACAATGCTGAAGTAGTCCCATCATCATCAGCGAAGAACCAGAGTTGATATCCTATTGGCGCTCGGCGCCTAGACTACATGTGGCAGATCCTATCTAGCCTATACTACGAAGCAAAATGATGACATCAACAGCGTTCCCGAAGTACGAGCATACAGCGGACAATGCCGCACGCTTTCAGCACCAGGTATGTCTCTCGCAACACTCACAACCCCGATCCACACCACACAGATGCCACTAGCACCCAAGGACCACCCTGCGTCATACCCAGCACACAACGGAGCAGCTCGGCTATGGCTGCCCGCTACTTCCTGCTCACCCGTGAGAGCGTGAGTGCCAGCCAGCCAGCAAATAGCGCAGCAGCGCTCGCGCAGCATGCAGCCAGCACCCGAATACTGAATGAGGAGGCAGGCCCTTTCCTATATCGAAGTGGCCTGCCTGCGTCCAGTCCAGGAAGCTTCCAGTAGGCCCTGGTAGGCACAGGCCGAGTCCTCACATGCAGGCCCAGGGCCTGAGGGTTGCCTGTGCCCAACTGCCCTTGGCCTGCTTACGGCCTTTCTCACGCGTCTGGCCCAGGTCACCGTTCAGATACATTTGCAAAATATGGCCTGGGCCTGGGCGCCTTCAACCAACTGGCGCAGCGCAACTGTCTGAATTTCCCCAATTGCGGGTACCCTGAAAATCGAGGCCCTGAGGGCCTGTCGCGGCTGCCTTCACTTAGGGCGGCCGACGTGCTGAAAAGGAGCCCGAAAAGGGCTGAGCAGGCGTAGCCTCGCATTTTTCGTTGTTTAGTGCACAGTTTCTCAAAAAATAAAAATAAAAAAAAACAATCTCACGTCCTGTTTTGCAGGGCATGGGGTCGAGGGCTGCTGAGTTCACATGCAGGTTTACTTTTGTTTTTCTCGTTTTCGTTTTTTTCGGGGCGCGGGGTCGATGGCTGCTGAGTTCACGTGCAGATGTATGTTTCTTTTTCGCGTTTTGTTTTTTCCGGGGCGGCGCTCGGTGGGCGCGTAGCTGGCTCTGCCACTCATGAAATGAACCTTGCGCTAGCAGATGGCGCGGTACACTGAAGCAGAACCTCATGAACTGAACCTTCCAAGATTTTGCTAGAAGATGGACGGGGCGGGGAGAGAGAGAGAGAGAGAGAGAGAGAGAGAGAGAGTCATGTATGGCTTCCAAGATCCGCAGGTCACGAACGAAATGAACCTTTCACTAGAAAATGGAGAGGTACATGGGAGCAGAACCTTCCTTATGTAATGAACATTCTGCTAGAAGATGGACAGGGGGGAGGGGGGGGGGGAGAGAGAGAGAGAGAGAGAGAGAGAGAGAGAGAGTCATGTATGGCTTCCAAGATCCGCAGGTCACTCACGAAATGAACCTTTCACTAGAAAATGGAGAGGTACATGGGAGCAGAACCTTCCTCATGTAATGAACCTTCTTCAACGGACGTCGTTGGTGAGAGGTGGTGAAAGGTAGTGTGCGAGGGGAGAATTACCGCAAAAAAAAAAAAAAAAAAAAAAAAGATGTGGAGTGGCGTTAAGTTTCAGCACGTTAAGTTTCAGCCCGCAATAGTTGATTTGACCGGACCCTAAGTGGCACGGTAGACCTGAGTGTCGGGTGACCCTCAAGCCGCAAACGGTGCCCGTAGACGGCAGGGGACAACCGTTTGGGCTGCTGCTGAGGTTACATCGACAACTGTTGATTAGAAGACTCAGGGGAATATTCGCTGCAGGTCTGACGTTGACGTCAAATTGCTCTACGACGATCTGCTGCAGTGGCTGGTAAACGGTTGACCAGCCAGATATCTTCAATCAAGGCTTGCTCAAGTGAGTTCGTTCCTTGGATTTCCTGGCCCAACGTCAGACCCTGTCAGTGTCTGTCAGAGTCTCAGCGTCAGTGCGCATGGTCTAAGATCAGATTGGTTGTCAGTTGTCCTTGGTCGGTGCTGACTCCCTCTCTGAGTCCGTTGGGAATGCTATTGACGTACCCTGACCTCACGTGATTGCCAGTCAGTTCTGCAAGTGCCAACCATAAACGGTGTCTGTCCCAGCCGTCAGTTCTGGTCTGTCAGTCAGTCCTGTCAGTTGGCAATCAGAAAAAGGTCAGCCCGTTAATGATGACTTCTGTCTGCGTCATA